TTCTGAACAGCCTAGGAACCCCAACAACAAGTGCAGGCTGGAGGGGGGAGTGGGAGGCAAAGAAGGCGGCCTGGAACAATTATTTGCCAATGAAATTCTGTTCATTGTATTTGTAAAAGTGATAACAAGTTTAAAAACAAAACAAAACACAAAATAAGGTCCAAGCCATTGCCACATTGGTAGGTGGTGACGTTCTTTAGATTGCATTCGGATGCCCGAGGTGGGCACCAGGCTGGACCCAGGTGTCCTCGCACCCTCCTTTGCTGAGTCCTGTGCCTGTCCCGACCAGCTCGTGCTCTTAGGGAAACTCATCAGTGCCCGCGGCTCATTGTTTTTCCGCAGATACTCCTGCATGGTTGTCGAGGCTGCTGCTTTCACTGCATTTGGTGTAGCCCACCGGGAGGATGTAACGTTTTGGTAATTTCCCATTGGCTCAGGTCTCACCTGTGTGTGCTGGGGACACAGGGCATCACTGCACCCCGAGAAGCCTCCCCAGTGCTGTCTTAGACTGGGGCTGGGCCAAGTAGGCTGTTGAGATAACATGGTCTGTGGTTTAAAGGGTTAAGTATTCTAGGGCCGTTTACCCCTTTCAGATGAGTGTTTTGAGTCTCTGTGCCCATCTGCTCCAAAAATGTCCTCTAACGCATTTCTAACAAGAAACCAGTGTCTAAGGTCAGGCTGCTGTTTTTACATGTTATACATAAACTCCTCAATGTCCATTTTAAAGATTAGCCATTTCTTTTTTAAAGATTGTATTTATTTTTAGAGACAGGGCAAGGGAGAGAGGGAAACATCAGTGTGTTGTTGCCTCTCCCGTGCCCCCTACTGGGGACCTACCAGCAACCCTTTGGTTCGCAGGCCCGCACTCAATTCACTGAGCCACACCAGCCAGGACGGTCATTTTTTTTTTAATAGTGCTTTCTTTTAGATGTCTTTTTGGAGGGTGTCCATCCTTCAAAATGGTCCATGGGAAACTTAAAATTCTCCAATAGCTATGCAAGGATTTCAGTGGTTTTAAGTTCACTTAAAAGGAATGACCTAGGGGGAACAGGATCTGACAGCTATAAACAGAAATTGAATATTGAAAAACAAAAAACCCACCCAACTACATTTTATATGGGATGGGAAAGGGATCCTTAGCTTTGTCAGACTCGTGTGGCCAGATTCCTTTCCTGCATTTTGATATTTAATACGAAAACTTAATTGGTGGTCAAGGAGTGAGATTTGGGCCTAATTTCAAACACAAGCGTTTAATATGGAGTCACATAGACAAATTTAAATTACGAATAACTGCCACAGAGCATTCTTTGACACAGAGGACATTAGGACAGAGCTGGCAGCTCCTGAAGAGGACCCGCGTGGGCACGCGCCGGGACCTGCGCCGTGGAGCCGCGGTTTTCACAGGCTGTCCCAGCGGCCTCGCCCTCCCCGCGCCACGTCCCCTCTGTCGCGTGCTCACTGTCCCTCAGGGCTACCTGCAGAGGACTCGACCCTAAAATAATCTTGAAGAGATTTTTCTTGAAACATTGAGGTGGGAACAAAAGAGTGTTACTTGTCAGCCTAATAACAGATCTGGAGGTTAATTGTATTAAAAACAAGACAGCACAGAATCCAAAGCTCTGCAGAGAGAGTGTCTTTATTTGGATCACTTCACCTGCTGACTCAGCTGGAAGGGCAATTATTTTAGATTTCAGTAAAAAAAATTAGTTACCAATTCTTGGCAGAGCAACATTATATGTTCATTGGTATACGCTACACTGAAACAATTCTAGAATTTTCTGGAAGGGGCTTGCGTATATTGACATCTTTTCAAATTCAAGGTTGAATCTTCAGTTTATAGGTCTGTTTTTGAAGCAACATTTTTATTTGGTAAGATTTGACACATTTATTTACTAAAAATCTTTAAAAAACATACTAAAAGGTTATGCTGAGGAAATGGCAAAAACACTTTACTACCTAAAATGATACGTGTCTGAGGAACATTCACTGCATGCCAGGCAGGTTCCCGGTGCCTCACACACCCGGTCCTCATAATAATCACCGTCACCTCCTTCTTCTGGCTGTGGACACTACGGAGAACAAGCAGGCTTGCTTAAGGTCACAGAGAGAAAGCGACAGAAGTGAGCACAGGCCGTCGCAGCTCTAGTTCTGAAAGTAACCAAGCACTTTAACTAGTTTGAAAAAAACCTGAAGATGAATATGTTCAGACTGAAGCACCCCCCCACCCAGTGCAACCTGACAAGCTTGGCTGCTGTGGGTTAGGTGGGGCCCGCTTGTGGCACCCGCCCCGACCCCCCTTTCCAGAACACCCCTGCAGACACAGAGTTCCAGTCCCATCTTTTATACACGTGTAAATTAAAGCCCAGAGGGGTAAACTGACCTGCTCAAGGTCAATAAAACTACATCTGGCAAAGCTGAGACCAGAATTCAAGCCTCCCGCCTGCCTGGCTCGCATGGTTCCTATTGCAGGACTTGCTTCTGTAAGAGTCTGCTGCTCGAACTGAACCTCAGTAGTGGAGAGACAGCGAAGTTACAGTTGCCCTTAGATCCCGCCCTCTCAGCTTCGATGGGGTCGCGCAAACCATTACAGAAGAGCAGTCATGACAGGTGGAAAAAATTGGATGAATTTTGTTGTTCCCGGCCCCCCATCCCAGGCTCATCAGCTAGCAGGTGGCACTGCCCTCACCTCTGTCTGTTACTGCTTTCCCCAGGTGCAACTCCTTGCAAATATACTGTATTTTTCAGACTATAAAAGACACACCCTCCCCCAATTTGGGAGGAATCATGGTTAATGCTGCTGTTGAGTTCTGTTTACATTTACATTGGTGAAATATTATGTTAAATATTTTACCACTTTTCCTTCAAAAACTTTTTTTGTATATTCCTACTTTAAAACCTAGGTGTGTCTTATGGTCCAAAAAATAAAGTACCCATGAAAAATCGTCACATTTTTAGGCATTAATGCTTCCCTGTGGAATTTGGGTTCCTATAGTGTGAAACACATGCCACTTATTCTTTGTAGCTCTGAAAGTTGCTGAATTTGGGCTCTAGTGGCCCCTCTACCGCTATGCTTTTTTTTGCAATATATGGTCATCATATAACCGTTTTTGTTGGAGTCATGGATCCTCCTCTCTTGAATTCCAAGGATCCCGTTCACCTGTGGGCCAGTCAGTTTGGTGCTGATGGGTTTCCTTTGTGGGGAGGGTAAAGGCTGGCCGGTGCCGGCCTGGAACGCCTGCTGCTGGCTGCACAAGCTGTGGCGCTGCATCTGGTCTTCCGTGCTGGGTGTCTGGGCGCCGTGGTGCTCAGTCCCGTAACGTCCTCGTTCGGTGGTTCCGTGTGTCTCAGAGCCTGTTGGCTGGCTATCACTTGTCAGTTTTTTCAGATGAACGCTTTGTACCATTAGCAGACTTTAAATTTGGGCCTTTTTACAAATGAACGCTTGCTGTTGTGTGAAAGATTTTGAGGTCTGCTTCCCATTCCTCCAGGTACTACTTTTTCTTGGCTGGGTCCCTTTAATGTCTATGGAATTGTTGCAGAAAGAAGTTTAATGTGACATAAGCTAAATAAAGTGTTTTTCATAATTTTGGTTTGAAATGTATTTGTTGGGTGTTGATATAAGAACTTTCAGCGATTCGGCCAAGTAGTGTTCCTATTCTGTTCTGAATTCTATTGTACTTTAGGTTTGCAGAGCCCTTTAAGAATTTGATGAAAACCATGGACACTCTTCCTGGAAAAAGGTACACAAAGTGCTTGCAGAGAATTTCCGGAGAGTTAAGAATCTCTGACTTAGCTGTAGTGGACTTTTTAATCTCACATTGATGAATTATGACCACAGGTGCCCTGTGCGCGCAAGTAAAGTGAAGCCCACAAACCTGGGTAGATTTTCTATAATTCCCTCATCTGAGTCAGTCAGTGTCATGCCCTGCTTTAAGGACGGGGAGAAAATCGTTCATTCTGGCTGAAGTTATCTTCATGCCAAGAGTCATGCGAACATTCCCCTCGGGTTGGGGGATGTGAAACCCTGACAGTGTAAAGCCGATTATCGTTTACCTTTAGGACTAACGCTGAGCGTTGAGTGAAGAAAGGCTTCCCTGGCATGGGGCAGGGTTTATCCTGACAATTAACAGCACCTTCCTCACTTTGATTTGCCCCAGAGCCCCTTCTTAAGGGCAGAAAAGGTCTCCAGAATAGCCACCTGCTTTTGGCTGGAAGAGAAGGAAGTAGAGATTCTTCTGCCTTTTGCATCTGGGAAAACTGGAGTGAAGACCTTCTAACCAACTCAGTGGCTTAAAGAAAAAGTTTGGGTAACACTGTCATTTAAATTTTCCTCTGGGGTTATTGTAATCGATGAAAACAGGTGAATTATTTTAAAGAATTAAAACACTCTGAAGTTACAAGGTGAAAAGTACCTTTCCCTCCACATCACTTCTAACAATTTGCTAAACTGAAAGATTCCCTTAGGCTGGTCCCTTTCTGCAGAGCTGCCCGTGAACTGCTGTACCCCAAGGATGGTGGATCCCCAGAAGCAGCGCCGCCACTGAAAGGCTGAACTTCCCTGGCGTCTCTGGAGACTTGTGTTTTGTGGAGGAGAGAGGGGACTGAGACTGCTGTTGAGTCCGTGGTGTCTCCCAAGGTGCAGGTCAGGAGTGGTTAATGAGGAACTGGTTCAAAAACTTCCAGTCACTGTCTTTGTTGAGGATAGCAGATGGCTCTGCCTGCAGCAGGTGTCAAACATTATTTGTTCGCTTTGGAGGAGCTGCGACTAGAATAATCCGGGTGAAAGCACCCTTCCTTTTGTGCCCACCTTCCACACCAGGTTGCCCTCGGGGCGGCCTGCAGCACCGCGGGGCACACACTGGGCACCTGCCACATTTGTACAAAGGAGTAGGTTTCTAGGTCTCCGAATTCAAACCCACTGATCCTAAAATAATTTTTGTTCTCTGAAAGGTCACACATACTCTTTAGCTGCTTTGTAATATAATCCAGCACAACAAAAGTATGGCTATTTCTTTGTTTTATTGAGAAACATCCGAGTTGTACATATGACAAACAGCTTCAGGTGTATCTGCACCAACCCCCCAGTGGCCAAACAGTTAACACCTGAAGCATCCATCACTTTAAATGTGAAAAGTCTTATAAAATTAACTTACAAAAATGTCCCTAAAAGTATGTAGTTTGGCATTTACTGTACATTAGTCAAAAGCTCAAGCTAAAATCTGATATTCTTTAAAAAAAAAATCAAAGTTTACATTCATACAGATTCAGCATTGTTAAAAAATATGCACAAATAACCACATCCATGCAATATAATTTCTTTAAAAATTTAAAGCAATATAAAAGGGCAGACCTAAGCACTGAACAGAACATTTTGGTGTATAACCTGTAGATCAAGATTGCTAGCTGCTTGAATTTTAAACATTTAAAATGATTGTTTCAATCAGCCAAGAGTGCATGTGAGTTTCTGAACCACTTCTAAGGTGGAATCTGCCTGCTTATTTCTAGAAAATATACTATGTGATGAATACTACTGCTCATTTGACCATATCAGCTACATTTTAATAATGCTGTTTTACAAAGAAACGAGAATTCACAAAGTGCTTGGCTCTTTAGGAAACTGCAGTTCCCAGAGATCCCAAAACCAGTGAAGTAGCTTTGCCACGCTGCTCAGGGCAACAGCTGCCCGGGGTCCCTGCCCTGGGCCCTGAGGAAGTCATCCGCAGCAGGTCCCTGGACCGCGCCACTGCTCAGTCACTCACAGGCTGGTGTGCAGCCATGAGTTGGGCACTCGAGTAAACAGGCTGGTGGGGTGGTGCTGCTGGCCAGGCTGAGCCCCCTATGTGGGGGGTGGCCCATTGGTGTACCTCAGCATGGGGTAAAAGGACCTCGCAAAGTTGTTGGCCTGAGTGCAGCTGTAGTCCTCTTCGGAGGAGGGCAGCAGGCAGGCCAGGAGCAGCAGCAGCAGGAGGAGCAGCTGCAGGGGCAGCGCTACCCGGAACACCCGGGCGAGGAAGGAGCGCTGTGGCCTCGAGCTGCCTGTGTCCGCGGGGCTGGGCACCCTGTCAACAGAGCAGGTTGAGAGCTCATCAGGAGGTTCCAGAGGCAAAACCCACTCACGTTACCTGAGCTCCTGCTTACGTAAGTAAGACCAGGACCTGAGGTTACAATGGGTCCAATTGCTGGGGTTTGGAAGAGAAGCCTAAACACCTTCCAGATAGAAAACCGGGTTTTTATAAAGATCTTGATTGTGACATTGGCAAGATTGGGGAGGTGACTGTGTGGAATTCAGTGCTATTACCTGCTCTCTGTCTTGTTCTTGCCTTTTGTTGTTCTCTCTGCTCCAGACTGCTGGATAAAAATAATGCAATTAGTGCACTGAATACAGTTTAGTTCTGTCAATGATGAAACATCCTTCCTTTTTAAATTATATACCTTCCTTAGGGAAGCTTCCTGACAAGCTTTTGAGACTAGAGTACTACATATGACCTTAAACTCTATGAGGTAAGATGATTTGTTGGTCTGTTGTTAATGGAGATTAGGAAGCCTCTTTAATGGTAGAGGGGCTCCCGTCTTACACCGCCCGCTTCAGCTCCAAGGAGAAGCCAACTAGGAGATAGCCTTTGAGTTAGGTCTTTAAAAGTGTATTTTAAATTTTTTAAATCTTAGGAGTAAGCCTTTCCACACTGACCAGCAACATATGGTAGCATGTTATCTGATGGGGCCGTGCTGTCCCAAGTTCCTGTCATCTCAGTGACTGAAAAAGAGCCGGGGCGGTTCCCACAGCAGGAAGGGGCCTCTCACCTTTGCCCGGGAAGCGGGCCCGAACGCTGCTGGAGGCTGCTCTCCTGCGTCTACCTCGTCCAAGTTGGGCAGGGCTGGGTCTGGGATCTGAAATCCACACCCCAAGGGTTCACTCAGTTCAGGGAAATCAGAGACTATTCAGGCATTCAGAGACTATTCTGAATGCCTGAATAGTCTCAACAGCGCAAAAATGTGCCTCATGCAGATTTCTTCCCTGCGCCCCCCGCCCCCCCGCCCAGCCCAAATCTTTCCAGAAGAGGGGGCTCTTCTATTTCTCACTCCCAGCTCTAACAGGGACTTTTTCAGGCCAAAGGGGAATGGAAACAAAGCCAGCCTCTTGCATTAAAAACCCATAGCACACACTGGGGGAGACTGAGTTCAGCAGCAGCAAGAGGGACAAATAGTTGGCAGTGAGCTCTTGGGAAGTGACCACGTGGCCATCGAGACAATACGGTCTTGGCTGTACAGGATGAAATATGTACTCTAGATGCAGGGGCCAGTTTGGGGATTCGTTTGTTCTGCATTGGCACACATTTTAAAGAGCAGAAAGTAGACAAACGACACAGTGGTCAGAAGTGACCAGGACAAAAAAGAGGACTTGAAAGTGTGGCACATGAGAAACGTGAAGGCAAGACAGAAAAGAGAAGGATTAGACTTGTTTTTAAATAACCCAGCCATACTAACAGAAAGTTACCCTGGCTATATCCCTCTTACAAATGATCAAACAGCTTTGAAGAGCTGATGTAACTTTTTAAGGCCACACAGCTCCAGAGGGCCGGACAAGACTCTACTCCAATGGCATGCTGGCAGCCCACCTCCCACAGCAAGGCTGCACCCCTGCGTGGCCGGTTGCATCTCATATGACGTCTTTATATTTAAAACCCACAAGGGGACTCACCCGGCTTCCCTGCAAGGACATCAGGTCTTGAGACACTTGCTCAAGTAACTGTTTGAGTTTCTTCTCAATAACGTGAACCTTCTCTTCGGCCTCAATGTAGTCATCTCCATGCCCCTTAATAAGAAGGCTGTCTGAAATCTCTTGTAAGGTGTTCACTTGGGGTTGACGTTCCACCAGCTCCTTTTCCAGTTGCTAAAAACAAGGTGTGGAACAGTTTATCCAAAGGGAAGCTAGTGTGGCTGGATGAGGCTTTCTCACTCATCCAGGATGAATGATGGGTGGTGCTCCAGAACCTTCCCCTCTTGCCTGTCTGTCCTCAAGCCTAGCATCACTCAGAGAGCAAGCCTGTGACGCCCTGCCCCTACTTTTTATTCCTTCTCATTCTGGAGACAATTATGTTGCTGGAGGAGTCAGAGAAAAGAAGTGAGAGAAGACAAGGTCCTTATCCATTAATGGCGGGAGGTCAAGGGAAAATCGAAAGTGGATTAATTGAGAAGCAGCAGCTGAAGCAAATGATTTAGAAATACACAGGAAGCTGGTAAGTTCACTCGTGTTGTTGAGGATGGTTATCTTGCTAACTGTCCAAAATGGTAGCCACTAGACAACATGTGGTATTTAAGTTTAAATTAATGAAAATGAAAAGTTCACTTTCAGTCAAAATAACTACATTTCAAGTGCCCATTAGCAATCATACTAGGCAGAGCACATCCAGAACATTCCATCATCTCAAAGTTCTATGGGACAGTGAATGCTACCCTGGAAAGTGTGGCTTTACAAAGATTTGAGTACAAAAAGTGTTTTTTAAACAACAACCAGGAGCATTGTGATTAAATTTAAAATTAAACCACATAAACACGTGGATAAAAATGTCAACTTGAGTGCAAGTGAGGACTCATGTTAACGTATTAGTGAAATGAATGTATGAAAACACAAGTGACCTCCACAAAGTGAGCCTTTTCTACAGTGGATGCAGAAAACTCATACATGCGGACAACTGAGTTTCCTATTTCCCCCTAAATGAGCCATATTCACAAGGGAAAAATAATCCTTCAGATGGCCTTAAGTTTTGCAGGGTATTGCTGGATACCTTTGTCCCCAACTCCTGAGTATTGAAGACTTCCTGCTCTTGGCCTTGGCTTTTCATCCCTGCAGGTCATCCTGCTTCAGAACTACACAGGGATGATCAGTAGACACCCACTGGCACCGTTGTTCCCAGAAACACTGGGGGAGGCCACCTAAGTACTAACCTCCTGACAGAGGCCAGTGGCAGCGCAGACCCCTTCAGAGGAAAACTTACCATGAGGTCTTCCTGACACTCCAGGAGAACCCGGGGGCCTGCCTCTGGGTCAGTGATCTGAGCCTTCTGCCTCCGGCTCTCGGCATTTGCTAACCACAGGAGCAGATTTTGACTCAACTGGTGGAAGTCCTGAAAAAACAACACACATCATAACATTGACCTTTTGCAAAACTGGGAAGGTGTGCTTGCTATTTCTAGTCCACCAGAGTCATCTGCTCATCTTGTCTTATCCAGTGAATAAAAGGGCCCCAAAACAAGGAAAGGGGGGAGCAGGGAAAGAGAGAGCCCTTGGCACAGCCTCTGCAGGCAGGCAGGATGAGTTCTGCCGAGGGCAGAGTGCTGACAGAGAGGTGGGGCTTCAGAATGCCCCCTCTGGTATGACACACCGGGCCCACACGCATTACTCAACAAACATGCTGGGTTCAGTGGCTGAAAGAGGCAACCCAACAGGGACAGGCTGTGGCCCAAGGACAGGGCTCTCCGTGGGCTTACTGGTGACTCATGCTTCTCAAGATGGGGTCAGAAGTAACATGGGCTGAGATTACAAGCATGCAGGCCTAAAAAGAACTTTGTGAAGGAGGCACTAAAATGATTCCCATTTTTCAGATGAGAACATTGGATCCAGAGGGTTCAATGATTTGCCCAGAGTCGCACAGCTACTATAGGCTGCAGGGCAGGCTGGCGGGCTCCCGTGCCAGGGCCAGGTGTCTTCTTCACTCTGCTACACAGCCGTGCTGGCAAAAGGGCAGCGAGGGGGCAATGTTGGAGTAGCGTCTCTGCCCACCGGAGCGCTTGCTGGAGCCCTCACACTATGCGTGGGCCTGGCCAACAGAGCAGGAGAGGCCGGCACCAGGCCTCTGAGACAGCAGGTGGGTCTTCAGAAACGAATGGTAAAGCACACGTTTCCTAACACAAGCCGTATTTGGCTGTGCCAGAGCAGCCTGATGATGATAAAAATATCCTCTTCTCCCACCCACGTGGGCCTGGCTGTGCCCAGGACCAGGTCGCGGGTGCCGGCTGTCGGTGGCGTACCTGGCACTGCATGAACGACTGCCGTAAGCCCTCTCTCCAGCTCTCCACAGCACCCAGCGCCGTGTCCCAGTGCTGCCTCAGCTGGCTGACTCTCTCCTGGAGCTCTCTGGACTCTGTGCTCCCAGTCTGCAGAAAGTCCTTGCTGTTCACGTTGACGGAGACCATTAAAGGCTTGTAGGTGTCAAAGGCTTTTAATATCTCCTACCACAGAAGATGATACTGGGTGAGGCACTCTGAAGACAGTAATGTTGGGGCTCATTTTGAACTTCTGTGGGGAACAGATCTTTCAAACACTTCTCCAAGCCAAGGCCACAGAAACAAGAGCGACCTTGCCTGTGACTGGCTGGGAAGTGTCAGGTGGGGGAGCTGCCTTACATGGTCAGTGAACTTGGCCGGCCAGCTTAACCAGAGGCCAACTCCACGGGACCTCCTGAGCTCTAGGCGACTTACTAACATTTCTGGACCAGATGAAGTACACTTAGTTATTGTGCATTTGCCCTCCAGTGTCACAGAAGTATAATTCCTTAGTATGAACGGTTACCTCTAATATACAGGGTCCAGCACAAATAACTCCCCTTCATAATTATAAAATCATAAGCATGTAATTCTATAACAACACTATCACACTCAAGCACACCATATGACATTTTAGGTGAAATGTTCAAATTAAAACTATAAATTACGACACCCATTACCCTACTAACCACACTCAAGCAGGCCTCACATCTGCTGGACTCTGCATTAATGCACAAGACAACAGCTCCAAGCCCCTCCCACGTCCCTGGCCAGGCATCCGGTGGGTGAAGGCCGAACATGTGTGTGACAAGTCCTAACCGTGTGGCACAGTAACCAGAGCAGGCCACAGAGCTCACAGTGGGTGAGCGGGTCCTCCTCCCCACCCTCAACGATCCACTTGCTGTCTGGGTGCACACAGTGTAGAGGGTGCTACGTCTCAGCAGCCACTAGCACCTCCAGAAGAGCCCACAGCTGCCTCTGAGACCATCTGCAGACACTCTTCTGAATGAAAACAAAGACCTGCACCTGTGTCCTTGCCAGGACGAGACCGACAGCCACCATACCACCTGCAAGTTGCCAGCATCTGCATGCGCACTCAGAATTCCCCTTCCGATACACTCGGACTTACCTTCAGGCTCTTCACTCTGAGCTCCATTTCCTGGATATCAGAGGGGGGTGTGGCCATTTTTAACGTTTCTAGCTCTGCTTCTGTTTTTTTTAGCCAGGTGGTAATGTCGCTGATATCAGAGTTCAGCTGCTGCAAGTCTTTTTTTATTCTGAGTTTGTTGCGAAGTTCTTGTGCTTGAATCAGCTCCCATCTGTCAAAGGCACCTGGGATAAAAAGCAGCAATCACAAAAACGGATTTCTCTGCCTCCAACTAGTTCAGCATCAGGGTGCTGAGACGGACAGGGGATGCTCTTTGCCAGAGGCTCAGCACTTGGGAGTCGTCACATTCCCTGGAATGTGGAACGGCAGGTTTCCCTTGCTGTATGTTCAAGGCCAGTGCCACCGTGTTCCCCCTAAGGCTAGTAAGGGGCGGCTCACTGGGGAGCAGACCCAGCACGCTGCCAGTACGTGTTCTGGTCCTAAGTTCAGCATTTCGGTTCAGGCCATTTTTAGGGTCCTTTCTCCTTTGGTCTGTGAACAATCAGGTTGGTGCTATCAGCTTGACTTTAGACTTGAGTAATTATTTTTATAATCACTGAGCTGGGCTTGTGAGGAGACACCTGACTCATCTCTTTGATAATCATCTTCCCTTGTCTTATCTTTACGTACAAATGAAGTCACTGAAACACACTTCCTCATCCGAGCTCATTTGGTCTATATTTAAGAATAGCTTTGAAAGTAAAGTGAACAGTCCAGGAATGTGTTCATAAAAACAAATCAGCTAATTCTAAACTAACGTGGGCTGCTATAGGGTAAGTGTAGCAGTTCTGCTGAATTATATAGTTGGCCAATTCCTAATTAATGTTCTCTCAAGCTGTGACTTAAAATAAACTCCTGGCTAGCCCCAAACCCAGACTCTCCCTCTCCCCACCACGGCTTGTTTGACGGTACCTGACTGCTGCGCAGTTACGGAGGCCGGTCCCTCGTCCTCCTGCTGTGGGCTGCCGTTCAAGACGCCTGGGCCTTCTTTGCCATCATCTGAACCTGGAGATAACAGCAGCTTCACCTAGAATGAGCCAATTTTACGTGATCATCTGTAAACTTGGAAGGCTGAAGGGTATCTTGGTTCATGTTAACAGGTAAAAGATGAGGACAGGGCGCCCTTTCCTTCCAAGGTTAACTTGCTGGAAATACAAGTGCTTAGTGTGCGGGTGGCACTGATGACCAAGCAGAGCTGATGGCCGAAATAAAGCCTCAGGAACGGCCCAGGGAGCAGGAGGCAGTGATATGTGAACATTGGGAATAAAAAGATTAGATTTAATTTTTAAATTGATTTTGAGAGGGAGGGAGGGCAGGAGAGGGAGAGAAACACGATTTGTTATTGCACTTATTTAAACACTTGTTGGTTGCTCCTTGTATGTGCCCTGACTGGAGATCAGCCCTGCAACCTTGGCCTATCGGGACAACGCTCTGAACAACTGGGCAGCCCAGCCAGGGCCTGACCTGATTTGAGGCTTCCCAACACTCTTCACGTGAGCCATGCAGAAAGAGTTAAAGCAACTAAAACACCCAAGCTCACCAGACAATCACTGTGTTAGTGCATTCACATTTGTATAGTGTTTTACAAAACCTGCATTTTCCCTGCTGGTCACTCTGTAGAGCTGGAGGTGTTACTGTCACCGGGAATCAGAAATGCACGGAGGACAAAACTGCCTCCCAGGGCTGTTTATTACCAAGCATTTATCGTTCACTGCTCTTCTGTTATCACAGAGCTGATTGAGCTATTACCTCTGGTCTTTCCAAAAATAGATGTGTCTTTTTTAGAAAAGCCTTGGTTTCTTTGGATTGTGTCTTTACGGCCTATTTGTGTAGAGTGAAAAAAAACCTAAAAAACCTTCGGATTTGTGGTGACATGCCTGATTTCAGACACCAAAAAGCAGGTAGAGCTGTAGAAAATGGCCAGGCGGGGAACACGGGCATGGTTGCTGGAACTACAGACATAAAGCAACCGTCAGGTGCTGGCATCTCTCCCCCGCAGGCTGTGAGGTCTTATTCTGCACAGAGAGGCAGATTAAAAATGACAGCTGCTTGCTAAGAGCTTCTGAATTTGGCACGGACAGTCCCTTATCAAATGACTCCAGTCTGACCATGTACAGCCAAGGATCTTCTCTGACTACGTAGCCCTATTTACTTCTAGACACAGAGGGCATTTTGAGAACCAATCCAGTGATGCTAATATTGCTTTTAGTTTTTCTAAGAGATGGCACTAAAAATGCACAGGACATTTTATTTCAGACTCCCTCATCGCTAATTCTCTGTACTGAGAATGATCTGGGGCCAACATTAAATCCTAGGCTGGCTGCCTCCCAACAGCTGCGCAGCCAGAGGCATGCCAAGGACGCGTGTTGCCAGAGGGAACTGTAACTAAGAAGGAACCGTCGCTGTTATAAATAACAACAACCAACCACATACACAGTAGTGCGTAGTAGGAATAACAATCACCTCCTTCGTAACCTCATACACACTGACCCTACAGCAGTTTCGTCAGGCACGTGTACCCCCAGGTGGGGCAGGCTGACAGAGGCCTGGCAAGTGCTCACGGGTCCAGAGCGATTTACCGGCAGGGCTGGGCATCAAACCCACGTCTGCCACGGCACAGTCAAATCGTACTGGATATGAAGTCAGAATTTTTGAATAGGAAGTGTGATCAAAAGAAAAAGATAATGAAGGTTTGGGAGCTCAGCAGCAGCTAGGGAAAGCCCACACTTCCCCTCTCCATCATGTGCACGGCTGACTGACTCAAGAGAATAATCACAGTAATGTCACGTCTGCACACGCAAAGGTGGTTGTTGGCTAGAAACCGATCTTTTACTATAACCAGTTTCCCCAGGTTCTAATGAAGCACGGTCAGCTCAGCAGAGGCACTGTCACCCTGGGAAACATGCCTGGGGAGCGAGCACACACTACATACACCGAAAGGCCTCTCTTGAGAATGTTAACTATTTACTCATGCACTTGGGCGGTACTCCCGGTGGGGTGAAGACTTACGTAGGCTGGTTTGTAAGGGGTGCTGGAGTCTGAGGGGCCGGGCTGTACACTTCTGTCGCCTCCCATTTGTTTGTAGCGATGCTTGGGACAGGAAGGACTGTCAGGAACGTGCCATGAGTGGCCCTCAGAAATGGATTTACCTGAAAGAAAAATAACAAGTGACAGTCCATTCTCTCCAACCAAAGGATCCCTGTTTAGTTACACATGAAAAGGTCATGGGTCACATGGCATCAAGTTACAGTATAATATGAGTTCTGCAGCTTTCCTTGCAAAGCATGCACGTTTGCAAAATGTCAGTAGGTCCCAGGAGGGAATGGAATGAGAGACATGCAGCTGAGCAACACTGGGCCTTAGCTAAATGGGTTCATGATGGAGCACGACGAACACATGATGTGCTAGGCGATGAGTGGCGTTTTGGAGCGGGGTCTCTAGTGGTGGGGACAATGGCAGCAAGCTGGGTCTGGGGCCCAAGGCTGAAGGCCATTCAGGAGTGAGGGGAAGAGTAAACATTAGGATGGACTTGGGGACCAAAGGGCCTTGCCCCACCACTGCAGATGGGATGGGGCAGGGAGTAAAGATTAGAGCTGCGAGTCAGGGAAAGGAGGGTTTCTTCTGCGACAAATGCAACAGTACCTCTACCCCACCTGCCTGCTCACCCACCCTCTTCCCAGGACATCACCATAAGCAAGGAAACAGCTCCACACCAAGCCACCGTGAAGAAAGCTTGGTCCATGCCCAAGGGCTGCAGTTAGACGGCGGGAAAACAAAACTTTAAAAAGGCACCATGAAAAATTCCCTCCTGCGCAGGCCTGAAGGGGAGCAGAGGGACACTGGCGAGGCTGCTCTGGTCTGGGCGGGGTTTGTAAGGAGCACGCAGGCATGTGTGAGTACGGCAGTGTGAATACACCATGGCACGAGGACATGGTGTCCACGGGAGGCGGGGGTCAGACACGACATGGGAGCGAGGTTGAGGATGCAGTGTGCGCCGCGGGTGCTGCCATGTTGAGACACATGCACGGGCAGGGGCCTACCAGAAGATGCTTTCAAAGTTTTTGTGGTCATTTTAAGATATGCCTCAGGATTTTCAGGGATTTCTACATCTGAAAAAGAATAATGTCATTTTCCTCACTGCAGGCGTCTGTAGATGAATGCCCCTGTTTTAAGTTAAAACAATAGCAACGCTGTCGGCTGGAAGGAGAAAAGTCACTACCCTTTACCTGTTTTATTGAAAAGCTTTAAAAGAAAACCAGAAAGATTTTCTCCAGCCAACTCCCAACTGTCCGGAGCGGTGGTGGGGGAGGGGAAGTGCACAGAAAGAATGAAGGCACTCAGCCTACGGACACGCTGAAAAACTCAGCCGACGAGCACTGACGGGCCAGAGCCACCAGTGAGCAGCCCGGATGTGCCAGCGTGAATTCGTTTTCTTCCCTCTCACCCCATCCGTGACAGGAGTGAGCCAGCTCTCAGGTGAGTCAAAAAGGGGCAGGACAGAACCCAGGAAGTCTGGGTCAGCCATAAGCTGGCCTCCTGCTCATCGAGAGTTGGCCGTGCTGTTAAAAGGCGCTAAAAACACAGCTAAATGGGTCAATGTCAAGGGCTCTGGAAAGCCAGGCCGCTTACCTGACAGAGCACTGTAGTACGGGCCCTCCTCGTCTTCTTCGTGAGAGGAGGAGCCCCCCACGTCACCTGTGTGATCCCACTCCAGAGGGATGGAGTCCACGCTGACGGGGGTCTCGCAGCCAGACCGCTCGGGCCCCAGTGCTGGGGGCACCAGGTGACAAAGGGACTGAGGAGACGAGGGCTCCTCCATCTCTCTCCTTTTCCGCCAAGAGTCGGCCTGGATCTCTCTGGGGTCTTCCATGTCCGCTTCATTCTCGGAGGCCTCCTTTTCGTCTTCCAAGCCCTGAAACGGGAGCGCCTGGTGTTCGGACCTAACCAAGTCACAGGCACCCGCGGTTCCGAGGAGCAGCGGGCGTCGGCCTGCCCCACGGTTCCTGAGAAGGGCCTCCAGCAACATTTCTAAGGAAACTAAAAGGAACCGGGTTCCCAGGCCCTGTTCGTAGTTATTCCAACTCAGACCATCTGGTGTGGGGCCTAGAATTTGTAATTTCCAAAATGCTGTTTTCTTTCCTAGGAAAAACCTTAAATTTGATAATCTAAGTTTAATGGCAGGCTCTTCCAAGAATAAGAAAATTAAAAAGAACTTGGGGCTATTAGGGTTCTGAATAAGATTCACATGTTCAAGGACCATATGTACCAGGTCCTTTCTTTTTATCCCCAATCTTATTGTTCAGAATATAGAACCTTATTCTCCCTGTGTTATAATGACTCTAAGAAAAACGGCTATAAATTGCTAGAGGGTTATTTTCGAGGCTATGGTGGTGAAGAAATTCTGTTTGAAGACGAAGACACAAAAAGAAAGGGCAGCCAGCTGTGTTGGTCAATGGTCATCAGAAGCTCTGGGCACGAAGGAGGGAAGTGTGAACGACGGCCTAACTCCGCCTGGGTTTCCCCAAAAGCCCCTTTGTCAAGGGAGAGACATCACACTGCTTGCAACCTGGTGCTCTGGGCACTTCAACGGTGAGAACGAAGCACCGGAAAGGCCCAGACAATAAGAGCTCCCAGACATTAAGATGCAGGAGAAGGCCAGTGCATCCCGAGTTAATACTGTCAGCAAAACCAGAACAGTTACAAAAATGTCCCAGCAGAACTGACACATGCCAGAAAAACCCTGTCCCGAGGAGCACATGGAAAAACGTGTCAAAGGGGCAAGGATGGTCAGAAGTGCTATCCTGCCCATTGGGCAAATGGGACCTTCTAAGTAACTGTGGCTCTGTAAGAGTAGAAACGAACTTTTTCGACACAGCTTTTTTAAAAACCATAGAATAAACCACTGTTAACCATTTCATATTAAGTCTGGTCAGACACCAAGTCTGCATGGCCCGGGAGCCCTCCCGGGGGGCCGCTCCCCTTACCGGGGTGTGGGAGGTCAGCCGCCGGTGGAACCGGGCCACCCTGCCGAACACTTCCTGGCAGTACCGGTGCAGTTCCTCCAGCTCGTCTTCGATCACCACCGCGTCCAGGGGCTCGCTCTTCTGGATCAGCTGCTCCCCAAACACGATCAGCTGATCGATCTTGTTGGTATTTAACGTAATTTCCTGTTGGAAACCCTATGTGGAATATGAGAGGATTTCAAAGAGGGAAACCTCTCTGAGGATTCAGACAATGTTTCTTATAAGACACAGAAAAAGCATCAAAATGTCATCGTTGTTTTGTTCCTTCACCAAGTACTTGCTAGCTTCATCAACTTTTACAAGGTGACAAAGATTTAATAATTTAAAATGACTGTACATATTTTTCCCTCCCCCTCTGGGCACTGACTTTTCCAATTAAAATAATTCTAAGTGTCGCAGGTTCGATTCCCAGTCAGGCCACATGCCTGGGTTGCAGGCCACGGCCCCCAGCAACTGCACATTGATGTTTCTCTCTCTCTCTCTCTCTCTCTCTCTCTCTCTCTCTCTCTCTCCCCCCCTCCTCACTTCCCTTTCTAAAAAATAAGTAAATAAAATCTTTAAAAAAATAATTCTAAAAGTCTGACATGGACATTTACTGTTAGTGGGTGGGAGGGAGAGACCTTATCTTAGTGACACCTGGTGGATACAGAAAACTCCCCACAGTCCGTCACCAATGGGCATTTGCTTGTTGACACAGTGCTAATACTCATTAGTGCCATCTTATTAGGGCAGACAAATCTCCATCTCCACTTCCTGTAAAACCGCACCCAGGAGGGATTGCTGCAATACTACAGTGTGACACAGATCAGCTGCAACAGTGGGGCAGGAGAAGGGGCCTGCTCTCGGCCCCACTCCTGATGCAGCGCCCCCGTCACACTGCACCTGTGCACGCGGACCGAGGGCTGGGGGAACAAACAGCAGCTCATGAACTTCGGTTTGGAACCTGAAGAGTGCTCTCTGCTTGGATGATTACAAATGACAAAGAGAAAAAAGGGCCCTGTTCCACTGCCCCTTGGCTGCAGGGAATAGTCTCCTTGCTCGTGATAACGCAGCAGTACACAGGTGGATGCAGCCGGGCTGCTTGAACAGTTCTGGAATCTGCTCCCAGGGTATCAGGTGAAATGTGTACTTGGCCCGGTCTCCTCTGCAGAGGTGCATTCTTTTCGGAGGGGCCGAGGGAGAAAGCCTTACGTTCAGTTGGCGCATCTTGTCGTCGGCGTCGCTCTCGGAAAAGTGCTCCACGTTGGTCAGCTGCAGGTCCATCTCTGTGAGCCACACCAGGATGCTCTCCCGGGTGCCCTCGAATTCTTCCCTTTGATTGGTGAAATGCTGCAAAGGGGGAAGAATAATACATTTTTGTTGATGGCAGAACGAGAGTTCAGGTCGACAGCAAGGTCACTCCTGGCTGAAGGGGAAGGTGCCTGCAGTACTCAGAGAGAAGCCCGTCTCTCGGCACCTGGGGGGCTCACAGGGCATGCAGGCACCAGCGTGGGGCCAGGAGCCCCGGGCCTGCCCAGTGTGACACGGAACAAGCTCCTCGGTTTCTCTGAGTCTCGGTGTCTTCCCTGGCAAGTAAGGGTGGGGAATGATTACGACCTTTAAAGTCCTTTGAGCATTTAAAATTCTCTAATTCTCTGTGATTTTCCCCAACCTGTCCTTAGAGGAACCCCCTCAAAGCCCAAGCCTGGCACCTTGCCTCTTTTACCCACTGTCTGTGGAAGCTTTTGCTTGACAGGATTTGGTAGCCTTAAAACAGACAATCACTGATTTGGGGCTGAACCTGGACCAGTGCCCCATTTGCCTTCAGTGATGTGATTCTGGATGTGTCTCCCCAGAGAAGGAAGACCCTGAGGCGGAGATTCATCCCCTCCAATTCAGGGTGCCTCTCAGGTTCCCACGTCATAGACGGGCAGCAGATTCCCAAACGTAGCATTCAGTGCCAAATGGGGCGTCGGACTGCTCCCAGTCAGGTCAGCAGAAGACAAATTAATGTGAGGGGTGTATCTAGAAAGCTAGCCAGCATCTCCCTGAGCGGTTTAAAAACCCCAGCAGCCCGGACTTCCATTTGTTCAGCACGGCCCCAAGAGCGCCCTGCCCCGAGAACAGGAGCGGGGGCCACTTCTCTTCCCACAGACACACACACGGCTCTCTGGTCCTGGCAGTTCGTGCCTGGCTTCACAAAGGCTGGCATCACGCCTCTGAGTTACAGAAATCTAAGATGAATGCCTACGCTAAAAAAAACCCCCCTCAAACCCAGCCTCTGAGGTTAGTCAGTGCGCTCCGAAATTCAGGGAATTGCTGTCTCCAACCCTCACTGTGCAGAGAGGGCTTTGCCCATGTCCCTCACGGTGCCAGAAGCACGACACAAAAGCAGGCAGGTGGGCAAAGCCGGCCTCTTTCTAGACTGCGGCCCAGACTCCAGATGGCAGTCCACCCCCCACCCCGCCCCGGGCAGTCTGTGAGCTAGCACGCACACCTTCAGGGGCTGCTGAGGACAAAAAAAGAAATTTGTTTGGCAACATAAATCACATAAACGTGTTGTGCCTAAGAAGCCTGTTCTCGGGCAAAAGATGGCTTAGAAAAACACAAAGAGCTGGCAGCTCTGGGCTTGCACAAAAGAAAACAACATTAAGCTCGCTTGGGCCTTCCACGGAATCCTCTACCCTTGGTTACAAGCCTGAGATCACGTATCACTTCTCCTGAACATCTACAAATGACCCCTGACGTAGAGAAGGTTACTCTGAGTCTGCGCAGGATGGCCGTGACCCGCTTCTGGAGGCCGTCCCAGCGCTGGTTGCCCTCGTGGACCATCTGCTTCAGCCTGCTGGCCGTGTCGGTGCGGTTCTCCCGGGCCAGCCGCCGGTACTGCTTGTTGACGAGCTCCAGCTGCGTGAGCCTCTCATGGACCTGCCGCTGGAAGGCCTGCATCGCACAGAGAAGCGTCAGTGCCGCAGCAGGCGGTGCAGGACGCCCCTTCCAGACCCTGGATGACTCGCCGCGGGTGGCTGGTCCCCACACCACAGTGGCTACGGGGGCCTACTCCGCCTGCTCCCCCGATGCCAGCTACGGAACAGGATTTCAAGTCCAGCGCCTGCCCGCTGGCAGACACCGGTGACGTCCTGCAAAGCCGTCTTAGCAGCTGACGGCAGGTTGTGGAGGGGCCCTGGGCAGAGGTCGGGGAAGCCCCCACTGGGAGGAAGTCTTTCTAGCAGCCCCTGAGCCCAGCGCAGGTCTTTACCTCGAACCTCTTCAGCTCCTCTTTGGCTACTGTGTACAGCACCTCTGAGGAATTGGGGAAGGCCGCTGTCCTCTCGGCTGACTTGAGCCAGTCCTCAAAGCGGGAGTAATCATCTAGAAACTTCTGCCACAGGCGCCAGGTCTCCTCAATTCTGATGGGAAGAAGACAACTTAGCACAAGCCATCCATGTTGACCACAGCTCTTATACTTTCTCTCAATTCATCCTATTCCCAACTGCCACCTCCCCCGCCCCCAGCACTGGCACTACTCAGGTGGAGTGACCCTAATACCCCTTCCAGGAAATAACTGGGCACGCTGCTTCCCGGTAAGGACACCTTCCTTATAGGAGTGCCAAGCCCCTCAGAGCTCCTGCTTCAGAAGTTAACCGACAGGAGACAGGCCATCCTCCACTGCTTTATGCTGGGAGCACAGGGGCCAGCCACGGTTAGGCCCGAGGCACCGGGGTGCCAGGAAACACATTGCACCATTATGTTTCTCTTGAATAATGACTTTTATAAGCACTGTCACACCCACTGAGCCTTCTCTGCCAACAACCTGTGAACCGAACAGAACACAGTTACTCATTTAGGCCAGAAGGGTGCACGGACCCCGGCTGACCACACTGGACACACTGAGGGGCGGCTCGGTTCTCACTTCATTCGCCGCTCCATCGACATGGCGCAGATGTTCCTCCAGCGCCTGTCCAGGCTTCGGGTGGTCTGCTGGATGGAGTCGCACTCGGTCTCGTTGGCACAGGCGTCAGAGTCGTGCAGGAGGACATCGCAGATGTTGAACACAGACTCCACGCCTGCGCTGTGCTGTTCGATGTCTCGCTGCAGGTCCTACAAAACCACGGGAGAGTAAGAAGCCCCTTGAGATGGTGCTGGTGGCAGGAGGGTCTCATCAAAGAGCCCCCACCCACCCACCTGCCAGCCCAGGGGGCACAAGGGTGGGTGCCTTTCCACCTTGGAAGCAACAGCACAGACTCTCGCCTACGGGCAGGCAGTGTGGATATCACCCCAGGTCACCTCACTGTGTCGTCATTTTGGAGAGTCCTGCTACTAGTAAACAGGACTAATATGTTCTTACTTTTCTTCTAATAAATGTATAATTTGGGTCATTCTGTGTTCAAGTGGATATAAAGAATAAAATGCTAGTACTCAAATATATTTTAAATCAAGCAGTTCTTAACCCAGATCCTGACTGATTAAAAGTGAGCACCTCAAAGTTATGTTCAGACGAAAATGTGTTTTTTGGCTCGTCGCCCCGTATGCACAGTGAAGAGAGATGTGCAGGGTGGTGGCTTTCAGCTCAGCAGCCCGGACTGATGCCTGAAACGCCGCAGTGGCGGGAGCCTCCCTGGGGCCGGGGCGAGGGCTAGCTTTAAAATGATGAGGTTTACATAGAATTCTTACCTGGAACCATCACAGGCTTCCCTGACATTTACCCATGTTGACAGAAACCCCTTTAACTTTGTTGAAACAATAGAAAGGGAATCCTAACACAGGTGCTAAATGAGTAATGCCGACAATAATCCTACCACTGGTACCCACTCAGGCATGAGTTTACACAACAATTTGATTTTGAAAACTGTTCCCATGTAATTTGAGGAACTGGACCTAAGAAACGACATAAGACAGGGTTGGAAACAGGCTCCTGCTTGGTTTGTGTTTCTGCCCCTGAGCAGGTGACACAGAGCCCTGGGGCTGGGAAAGAGTTGGGAGGCGGGGTGGAGAGAGAGAGAGAGAGAGAGAGAGAGAGAGAGAGAGAGAGAGAGAGAAGATAGGGGAGACACGAAACCAGAGCCAGGAATGCAGCCAGGAAGACGGAGCACACAAAAGGAACTGGGACAAGGAGAGAACCAGGGCGAGAGGAAACAAAATCGCACGGGTAGTGCCCCTGCGGTGGTTTTAGCCTGTCTCCCCGGGAGTGGTCAGGGGGTGGTGAGCAAGTCCACCAGGGTAGTCTTGGGGAGAGTTTTAGGGGGGTGGGCAGGAAGCTGAGCTTTCCCACTTGGGGGGTAGCCATTGGTAATTACAGAATGGGGGGACCAACAATTCCCCCTAAGACACCATATGGCACCCACGGGAATCAGGAAACCAAAGAAAACAGCACTGATGCCAGAAACTCAACAAAAGTGGTTCCTGGCCCTGACCGGTGTGGCTCACTGGGTTGGAGTGTCGTCCCATAAACTGAAAGTTGTGGGTTCGATTCCCAGCCTAGGTTGCAGGTTCAGTCATTGGTTGGGACACATCCAAGAGGCGAATGATTGATCTTTCTCTAGCACATCAATGTTTTTCTTCCTCCCTTTCTCCTTCCCTCCCCCTTCTCTAAAATCAATAAGCATGTCCTTGGGTGAGGATAAAAAAACTAAATAAAAATAAAATATAATGTGGTTCCCGATTTAAAAGTATCACAAAGGTTCTACATCCTTTACATTTTGAAGATGACATATTCAACAGGAATGACAACGCAACCCTTATCACCTAGAGACATTCTACCTACAAGAGGGGAAACAAGAAGGACTCTTATAAGGCCTGGCTCCTCCCACACTGGAGCCCCAAGGACGTTATAATGAGAAGCCAAGGACATCGTGTCTGTCAACCACTTTTGGGGCCGAGGGCTTTTGCAGAAGGCACTGGTTGGTGATCCCAAGTGTTTAGGTTTTATTTCTGGAAAGAATCAAGCAATTAATATATTTAATTAGTGACAGAAACATAGGAAATGTTTTTTTTTTCCAGTGGTCCATACATAATTGTGTGTGACACATTTGTTTTCAGTGTTTTTTTGATGGAGCATTTAAAGCCCAGGCTTAGTACATAAACACATAGTAACTTTTTTTCTCCTTTAACAAAAATACTCAAGTTTCCTCAGGACATCTGTGAAAGATGGACTATTTCCCCTTCCCCAAGATGTCCACATGCCCTTGGCCCCAAAACCTGGGAATATGCTAGTCTCCATGGCAATGGAGAACCAAGTTTGTTATTCAACTCTTTCAAATAGGGAAATTATGCTAAATTAGCTGGGTGGGCCCAATGTAATCCTAAGGGTCACCAGAAGCGGAAGAGGGAGGTAAAGAGTCAGAGGAAGTGACTATGGAGGAAAGGCACAGAGAGATGCAGCTTGCTGGCTTTGAAGACAGAGGAAGGGGCTATGAGCCAAGAAATGTGGAGACCTCTAGACGCTGGAAAGGGCAAAGAAATGGGTTCTTCCCCAGCCATCAGAAAGGAATCAGCCGTGCTGAGACCTTGGTCTCAGCCCTGTGTCAGATTTCTGACCTCTAAAACCATTAACACAATACATTAGTGTTAAGATGCTAAATATGTGGTAATGTGTTTGTTATAGCAACTATAGAAAACTAATACATCTAAGTTTTTACAATAATGGTAGTCCTGAACGTCAACTGCATATTAGTTCTTTCTTTCTTTCTTTCTTTTTTTTTTTTTGTAACCAAAGGATAAATATTCCACATTGGTGATTCTGAATTCTATCAAGTGGGAACCTATAAATCAACCAGATTGAAATCAGGTACCCTCTCAGTACAAGAACAAAGAAGGCCAGGAGAGTGGCCGTCACTCCAAATTCTATGCTTTTGGGAATAAATTCCTTGCAATTTAATGACGTGTTGTCACACTTCAGATTTATAAAATGTTAATGCACATAATTGGCCAAGGCCAAATTTATCTAGTCATTCCTTAAGAACAATGTTGTCAGTTTCCTATCCTGTAAATAGACCTGAAAAAACTCACCACTCGGGGTAAATGGTTATTTGCAAGGCCGATTAATTAGCAGACTGCTCAACAAATTCATCCTAATGGATCAGCCTTGTAAGTAAAGCTGGTAATGTTCAATAGCTGTGATTCTAGAAGGGCATTAAAATCTCTGCAGTGTCCATTACCACAATGCCAATATTCATTTCTCCACAGAGCACAGACAGAATTTAGATGGCCTCAATGAGAAAGACATATTTTAGTTTCTGAGGCTAAGTGGAAAAACCAGTAGTTTTACTTTGTAGCACTGCTACACTACACTAGTTTGAAAATCAGAGAATACGCACCATTTGAACAGTAATTGTAACAGACTGAATAGAGATCTAAGTCCAGAGTAATATCAAATACTCAGTCCTATTTCATGGTAGCACGAGATACCACATTCGTATTAAAAGGACTGACCTAAGTTCAAGAGAATTTATCATCAAGGGGTGGCCTCTGGCCTTGACCCTGATGGAAAGATGCAGCCCCAATTCTACCTCTAGGCAGTTACGACATGTGGGTCAATCTCCCAGTGGGCTGACAGGCACCACGGCTTTGGAGGCAACGTGAAGAAAACAGATCCGAGTCAGAGAATGTGAGGACAACCACGTTGCTTCTGTGGTCAACACAGAATCTGCTTATGGGTCTGGGAAAAACAGAGGTGAAGGAGAGCCACTGAACTAATCACCTGAACAGCTATTTTAACAGTCAAGACAAGCTCAGGCACAGCATATGAGAATGAACAGGTGAATGTGAGCCCACAGAGGGCAGGAAAGTGGACTTGGTAAGTCAGTGATTTCAAGGATTCAGTGCTTTGCACACTGGAATTTCAGGGGGTGGCCCAGAGGGTATATAACTGATAACAGAAATGCAGAGAGCATTGCCAGGGAGGCTCCCAGAGCTACTGGTCCAAGCATGTGCCTTATTACACTGTTTTTGTTCTATTTGTTTTTTTTAAAAAAACTCTATCAGACACAGAGTATTAACCCACAATATCTTTCTTGGTAAGAAAAATTACTTGTCTTTCAATTCATTGCCTTCCAAAACTATACAGGGGTGGGTAAACATAAGCTTACAACTGTAATACAAATAAATAATACAATAATTAATAATAAATAAAGAAGGATAAACTCTGTGTTTTGCATACCCACAACTGTAAACCTACGTTTGCCAACCCCACATGAACAAAAACAAAACAGAGATCAAAGTTAAAAAAGTACAAGATAAAAAAACCTATTTGCCACTAAGATTAACGTCTGCATCTCAAACATTATTCCAAGTGTTTCACAAGGCGTCGAGTGAATGGTGATGGACAGGCAGGCAGAGCACCTCGCACGCACAGAACACGGACAGGCGGTTCGTCTTCTCTGGAAACACAGCCAGCGTCATGAAGTGTGAACGCGCCAGAACACAGCCACCACGGGGAAGGTGTGAGCTGGCGGAGGTCAGGGACACCGACGAACGCGCTTACAGAAGCTCGCTGCTCATTGGCCCACCTGCTGCTCGGCGAGCCTCTTCTGGATCTCCTGGTCGTTGCAGACGTCGTACACCACGGGCTTAGAGAGCTCAGACTCAATGCGAGCCAACCAGGTGCGGAGGTTGCTCATGTTTTTGTCTAATTGCTGAATAAAAGCAAAGGTCTCCTTCAGCTTCTTCACCCTAAACATATTTGCAGAAAGAAAAAAAAAAAGGTGGAATACCGAGGTGCAACATTTAGTGGTGAGCATGCTCCAGTAAGAGTGCTGGCGGGTAAAAAGCAACCTACATCAGTGATTGATTTTATGGTGGGAACAACTCTCACCAGATACGAGTTTTCGCAGAATAGTAATTGCAACAGACTGAATAAAGATTGAAGTCAAGACACCACAAAATTGCCGTCCGCACTGATTTTCAAGCGGACTCAGAGTTAATCTATCCAAGCAAATATGAAGTCCTATCATTCTTGGAGGGCGATCCCCTGAGACCCGGTCCATCTTCCTGAGGCTCCAGGGGTGAGAGGAGATGCCATTTCTTTCTCTCTAGGTTAAATACCATGCCTGACTCCTACCCATTTCAGGGGCAGGGGTGTCCGACTTTTCCGAGTCTGTGGGCCACAGTGGAAGAAGAGCTGTCTTGGGCTACATATTAAATTCATTGTGACACGTAATCCCCCCAAAATCTCATAATGTTTTAAGTAAATTTATGATTTCATTGGGCCACATCCATAGCCATCCTGGGCTGCACGTGGCCCCTGGGATGCAGGTTGGACACCCTGGTTGGGTATCCCCGAGACTGCGGCCACCATGACCTTCCCCGATGGCCTAAAGCTGCCACATGCCTGATTCGCTTGGTGGTGTTCAGCCCGAGATGTCTCTCACGGGACTCCCCTCTTAAGCAAGCACAGAACACGTACTAAACCCCACCATGTCTAGTCTGAGGGGTCGAGGGCACGGCACACATAGAACCAGACCTTTGCGGGCAACTGTGTCAGCCAAAAAGGGAGTGGGGTGGGGCAAAGTTAATTTTTGAGCGCAGTTCTAAATCCATTCACCTCGCCGATCCGCCTGACCTGGCAGGGAGAGGCTCTGAACAAACACGCGTGGTCTGTCAACACACGGTCACAGGGAAGGGCACAGCTGCTGCAGAACGACCTTTACACAGACCCTGAAATAAAATGCTTCCATAAACTGCTCTCATGAAAGGTCTAAAGCAGAGAGAGGGTTTTTCTGGAGACCTGTGGGATTTTGGGTGAAATACGGGATGTTCCCACGTATCAGTCAGCACTCGGGCTGTGAGGTCCTGTCAGAGCTCCTGCCCACAGACCAGGAACAGAGATTGGGGCCCCAGCCCCAAGTCACAGGGTGCCCACGGAACTCCCCACACCACCACCCTCATCGTCATCATCTCTTCTTCGACAGCCTGTGAGCAGCTTCCTGCCACCCTCCTCGCCTTCCCATCCGCCCTTGGTGTACATTTCTGCAGCTGAAGTGTACATTTGAGATGGCAGGTCTGGTCCACATTCCAACCCTTCCGTGGCCCTCGTCCTACCTTGACAAAGCGTTTAATCTGCTGAGTTTTCAGGTCCAGTGGTCAGTGGCCTCTCTGCCTCCAACCCCGTGCTCCGTAAAGTGGCTCCTCTTCCTTCCTTCTGGAGCTTCTACCACGGCCCCTTGGCTGAGTGCTCCGAGCACCGGGGCCCTCCCACCCTGCGTTGTGCCCGCACCCTTCGTGCACTGTGCACCCATCACATGCAGCACCAGGCTTGCTCCCACTGTATGCTCAGTCCCTCCCACAATGCCTGGTGGGCAGGAGGTGTCAACAACCTTTGCAGAATGAACAAAAGTGTATAAGCCTTCCACCACAAGCTCTTTAAGTAGACCACCGAGTTTTGTGTGTGTGTGTTTATTTATTTATTGTATCCTACAACTGACCAACTCAACCCTGGGACTTTTTGCTCCAGCTCTATTACTAGCTACTTTTGTGACTTAGGACAAATCCTTTCACCTCGAGCCCTCTCCTCTCTAGTAGGCCTCTGAGGACCCTCCAGCTTCAAGGAGGTGGTAACGTCTGGGTCAAGTTAAGTCCAGAACTGGAGGTGACCAGACTTGGCTCTCTACTCACTGTTGTACCATCTACGAGCTGCACGCCCCCACAAGGAACCCCAAATTCCCAATTCCCAGTTTCCTTGTTATCTGCGAAATTATCCACCTTGCAGGTGGTTGAGTCAAACAAGAGGATGCATGTAAAGCCTATGACATGGAGTAAGCACTAAATAGGACACTAGTTCTTATTACCACTGACTGGGATGGCATGGCGCTACCTACAATGATGCCTCATTTCCACAGCACTGGACCGCACAGAGTCTGTTCATAATGTTTCATTCTTAACATGCCATGAGCCAGGCAGGCTTAGAAGTAGGTTGTGGAGTTGGGTGGTAAACAACACAGACAATGGTCAGGGTCTGGGTTTGAATCCTGCCTCTGGTTAAATCTCATCTGTAAACCAGTGTCAACAGGAGTGAGTACCTTCCTTCACTGGGTGGCTGAGGGCAGTGAATGAGATAGAAACACATGAAAGACATTTGGCACAGTGCCTAATGGCTTTCAGAAACTATGAAAGGCAGAAGAAACACAGAAACTATGAAATTATTATGGTTTCATAACAGAAACTATAGTTGTCATAATTTTTAATAGATTTCATTTATTTATTTTTTAGACAGAGGGGGAGGGAGGGAGAGAGAGAGGGAGAGAAACATCAGTGCATAGCTGCCTCTCATGTGCCTCCCACTGGGGACCCGGCCTGCATCCCAGGCATGTACACTGACTGGGAATTGAACCAGTGACCCTTTGGTTCACAGGCTGGCGCTCAATCCACTGAACCACACTAGCCAGGGTAGTTGTCATAATTTCTAAGGGGATACGTTTTCCAAATTACATTCTTATTGGAAACACCATAAGGAGGGATTCCCTCCAAAGCCACAAGATGATTTATTAAAAAGGAAGTAACAGAATCCAGGGCCAGGCCTGGATGCAGTTGTAACTGAGATCAGTCCTTTGTCCCTACGGGTTCAGAGGTACACTCTTCTCACCCCAACATCTTGTCACCCTGACGACCCAGGGACCAGAAAGAACACTCCATACAATGCCAAGCAGCCAAGAATCCCAGGCCCCGTGAGCCAAGGAGTCTTTACAGTTTGGAAGGGGAAACACCTAGGGAGACTCTGTCTGAAGGAGTGGCCCAACCCTGAGAGCTTCCCCCATAGGTGGAGAGAGGTGCTCAGGCCCAGCAGCCTTTGTGCCACTCTCCTGCCCCCTCCTCCCAGAACAGTGTCACCACTGGAATAGGCTGATTTTATTCCGCCCGAAGGATCCCAGCTTCTCATGCTAAAAAGAGGGCCAGACTACAAGCCTTTAAATGAAGGGAGCTAACCAGCAACAAAATAACCTGGGTGCAAAAAACACAGAGATGCAGTGATCTTGGATTCTGTTAATCCCAGGGTGAGGGAGAAGGAGAGGGGTGGGGTGGAGGAGATGGAAGAAGGGAGGGAGGGAGAGAGAAATAACTGATGTGAAAGGGAAACATTGGCTGGTTGCTTCCTGTATGCACCCCAACTGGGGATCAAACTCTGAAGCTAAGTATGTTCCCTGACTGGGAATCAAACCCTTGACCTTTTGGTTTTGCAAGATGACACTCCAACCAACTGAACCACACTGGCCAGGGACCTTTCAATAAACATTTAACCATTTGCTTTGTCTTCGGGTCCTGTGCAGATCCTGAAGATGCAAAGAAAACTGAAAATAGGTCTGCTTCCCAAAGAGCTCATGCTCTAATTTTGATGCAATGTAGACATCATAATACAATAAAGGAGGTGCTCAATATGTAACTTCTGCATGAGTAAGTAGTGTTCACTCATACCTTCCAATTTGTCTTTTTCATAAACGAGGTGGCCATGTTATAGACAAATGACCAGAGCACCTCCCTTCAAGCCTCACATACTCCAACCCTCAGTTCCATTCCAGGCAAGTGAGGCACTGGACGGGTGAGCACATCAGCCGCACACACATACTGGGGACAAATCGGAGAGGGAGGAAGATGGGAAAGAGAAAAAAGGTCACCGGGAAGCCACAAAACATTCACCAGGTCAGGATTTAACATGTTTCCATGTTCTAACCTCTGACTGAAAGCAAAATGTCCAAAAATGCGCAGTGATAGAAATAAATGTTGCTCCTCAGATAATATGTTGCAACTCACTCCAGGGACCCTCAGATGCACTGCTGAGTGTGTCTCGTTCTGTTCTGCATGGATGCTGAGATTTAATTATCACCTTCCTTGGATCAGGAAGTACGTGACCTTGGCCAGCCCAGGCAGCCCACCTCAACATCAGACGTTGCTGATATTGCTCTGAGAGAAGTTTAAGTCTCGAGTTAATATCGAGAAACAAGGAAACCCGTTCGGAAACCAGACTTGGCGCAGGGAAGCAACCGCAGCGCTGCTTTGCATCAACTGCAGAGGCACCTCACGCCGCTCGCCACCCCTGCACCTGCCGCGCTTCACGCAGGCGCGCCAGACGAACGTTGCTCATGCACACATTTCACTACATCTTATTTCTCCAGAAAACATAAGTGTGACTTCCTGAGCTAAATTTCAATTCTAATAACTGGAAAAACAAAATATTGAGGGGCAAAGGGAAGGTTTTTCACCTGTGTGGCCTATTGGAAGACCTGAATAAAACATTTTTATATGCAACCAAACAAGAATTTTGCCTGAGTAGCTAGCTACAAATTAGAAGTTCTTTTGCAGGGACTGTGGGTAGAAATGCAGAAAATCAAGGTGAACAAAGTTTTTCTTTGATCTTAACTAGTGACGGATCAGAACGTAATATTTAAGAACCCTGCTCTTCCTCCCAAACAAACAAAATCAAGCCAGGTTAGTATCAGGCTACATACCAAGCCAAAGTCTTACAATGTGTAATGGGGCTTTAAGTATCAAATTCATGTATATGGAATAATTTACATTTCAATCCTATACTCTTACATACAAAAGAGTCTACAGTTAAATTATAAAGGCGCTAGACCAGCATAAGGTAAAACAATTCCAATGCCAGTGTGGACAGCGTAACTGAAAATATACTCAGGAAATATACTGAAAATATACGCAGGAAAAATGAGATGGCTGAAGAA